GGCGGGGGGGGGGTGGGGGAGTGGTGGTGGGGGAGACAGGGAAAGTAAAACGCTGCCTGCAACTTCCAGGGTGGTTCCTCTAAGATTTACCATCCTGCTCGCTTCCTTCTCGGCAGGGCTCCGACTGCCTCCTGGGTCGCCTCGGGCTCCTTTGGAACATGATGGGCGGCGCCTGGGTGCGGGGTTCACCGGCGTCTGGGCGCCGAGACTTAGGGCAGGGGCAGGTTTCGCTTCTGGGACCCTTTCTCTTCCAGAGATTCTCAAGCCTCAGGCCTTGAGCACACCTCCCACTGGGGGGTCGGTGGTACGGCGAGTAGACGGCGACTTGTTCCCTGGCAGGACTGGAGGATACGGCTTTCCGCTGTCCCTGCACCCGGCCAGAATTTCCAGAATTGCCTCCGAGAGAGTGTCTCGAAACCGAACTTAGTTTGGCCCTCTGGCGCCGCCGTACAGCCAACGCTTCTTAAGGGGGACCAGCGGCTCAGGCGGCGAGATGTGGGAGTCCTCCGGGTTCAGGGGATTAGAAGGGCGAGCTAAGGTATGCGGGAGGGACAGGAGACGCACTTAGCTGAAGGGGCTTCGCTGCCCTCAAGACCGGCGAGGACGTATTCACATTTTCTCGCCCAAGGTCCGGGCGGCGAGTGTCCGCCGACTCCCCAGGCGTCTCCCGGGGGCTGCGGCCCCTGCTCACGTGCTTTTCCTTAAGGAGGCCCCGCGCCCAAGCGGGACCGCAGGGACAAAAGCACGGCCCGAGCCCTGCCTGCTCGGCTAGTGCCCGCGCCACCTTAAATGAGCATCGCGGCCAAAGCCAGGCTGCGGGCGGCCGCGGGAGTCGGCAAAAGTTTGTGGCTCTGTTACGCCTTCGTGGGACCTGCTGGGGACGCTCCTGCACGGCTTCCCCAAGGGCGGGGAGGCCGGGTCCTCACAGTACAGTTCTGCTCGAGCCCGCAGCCTAGGGCCCGACAGTTTGGGGTCCCCAGAAACCCCAGTCCCGCAGCCGGAGGATAGGCGGCCCCACCGCCCTCGCCGCCACCGCGTCACGGCCTCCAGGCGGCCTGGGCTGCGCCGCTCCCGATGCCGCCTGCGCCGCGAACGCTCCAGGGATGCCATCCGGGGATGCACCCCACCCTGCGCTCACCAAGCAAACCCCTCTCCTGTGCCAGCCACAGCCCGGCGGGCAGCGGCCCTGCTCCTGCCATTCAGGACACCCGGACTATTGTTCCGGACCCAGGGCCGTGCCAGCTCTAAGGGAGAAGGGCCTTCCTCGCGCCCGCGGTGGCCCGGGGAGCGGCTGTCCCGGATGGTCAGCTCCGCGCGGAGGGGGAGCTCGCAGGCATCGGCAAAAGTTGCCCGGAGGGGCGGAGGCGGTGGGTAGTGGGCGGAGGCGGTGGGTGGGGGAGGCGATCGCCCTCCTATCTCCAAAGTCGAAAGTACTCCGCGCAGTTAACTGAGCTGGGAGCCGAGGCAGCCGCGGCCACCTCCTGCGCGTCGGTCTGCGCCTCCACCGGGCAACGAGGCACCCAACGGTCGCTTTGCCGCCTCCGCGCCGGGACGAGTGCGCCGAGGGGCTGCGCGAGGCTGCCGCGCCCTGGACCCGCCACAGGAAGGAGGACCAGACCCCGGGCCCCGGCGCCCGCCAGCGCCGAGACGCACCCACCCTCCGGCCGCGGCCACCGCCTCGCGCTGCCCTCGGTCCTCTGTCACCGGTCCTCCGCCGCCCCGCGCTCGAGGTCCTCGCTACCCAGCTCCCACCGCCGACTCTCTCCTTCCTCCTCCTCCCTGTCTCCCACCAGCCTCTCGCCTGTCCCTCTGCTTCCCCCACAGCCCCGCCGCCCTTAGGTCGCCGTGCTCACAGCGATTGATTGATTGATGTTTAATTTCCTGCCAGGCGGGCCCCCTCTCCCCCCGCAACCTCCCCAGTCCTTCTCCCCGCCCCCCACTCCCCTCCTTCATTGCGGTGGACCAGTCTGGCTTGGGTTTAGATCCATCCCCCCCATTCCCATCCCGAAATAACCTAGAGACTTCCCCTACCCCCACCCCAAATTATTATTTTTAAGGCGCTAGATCTGGGGACGGAAAGGGGGAGGGGGGAGAAATCGGAAACCGAGGACAACCCAAAAGGACTCACTTTGCCTGATGACTCAACGCAACTAATAATCATCTCCCTCTCAGTGTGTGTGTCTCTGCGGCTTGTCAGTGAGTCCGGCTCTGGCTGCTGGCATAGGCGGCCGAGAGAGGAGAGGCTGGAGGTGACAGCTTGGGCGGCCGCCGCCTTTCCTCCAGCGTGCGGTCCCGGGTCCCTGCGCCTTCTCGGCTTTTGGTGGCACCGGCCCCGCGGCTCCGGCCGTGCCTCCTTGCGAGCTAGCGGCCCTGCGAACCCGCAGCCCCTGCCCGCCGCCGCTTCCCGGTTCTTAGCCCTTTCTCTTCAGAACGGGTCTCTTTCTCGAAGGTGTGAAAAGGCTCTTTCAGCTTCCTTCTCCCCCCCCCCCCAC